CACTGCCCCAGAAGGAAACAAGGCCAGCAGAGATAAGAGGCAGAGCCACTATTCAAAGAAGTCAGCACACCTGAGCTTTAAATGTCCACTCCATTGTCTAGAAACAGTACAGAGACAGACTCCTGGACTGGTAAAATGTCAAAGTCACCTCCCCAGGCCCATCGCTGCCCTCCAGCCCCCACCATATGCCTACATGTCTTCCAGGCCCTTTCTTGACTCTTACACATGCTGTTTCCTATCTGTAACGCTCTTTAATCACCAGTCCCTTCAAATTCACCAAGCTCCCGCTTACACATTAAGGCTGAGCTCAAACATCCTCTTCTCTCTGACACCTTTCCTGACTCTTCTTCTAGCAGAGATGGTGCTGGTTCCTGTGAGCTTCCAGTTATCTACTCAGATATTTTATTCTATTTAACACACTCTGGTGATCTATTCACATGTTCATCACATGTCATGGACTGCAATCTTGATGCTACAGACCAGGTCTCCATCTTTGTGTCTCTGGCACCTGCACAGAGCTACTTACTGCACGTGTATTCCAAGTCTACACTAATACCTCAGGATTCTGCTGTCACTCTAGTCTGAGACCAAATGCCCTTTACAGCACTAAACGGGGTTTCACACAGAGTCAAACAACAGAGTACATTTCGCAGAGAATACAGCTCAAGGCGTAAACAGGGCAAAGTGTGTCTCCCTAGAACTAGACACACAAAAGAGGGGCCAGCTTCATTAGAAGTCTGCTGCAGGTCAGTTAAAACGTGCTACCCAAAGTGGCAGCCAACAAGATATGACACCAGAGGCCTCGAGACCTGGCACCAAGCCTGATATCCCCCTGACCTTTCCACCCTGGGCTAGTTTATCTCCTGTGCCAAGCTATAAAAGCCTCAGTATAAATACAAGTGATGCCCAGAGATCTCGGGTCTTTTACTCTGGCTATTGATATCCTGAAGGAATTTGTTTCTCAGGTCACCCAGCTAGTGACAGGAGAGGGAATAATGCCAGGAGACAGTAAGAGTCTGGTGTCTGAAGGGGCAGGCAGTGCTATAGGGCAGTGGTTCCCAACCTTTTTGGCTTCAGGGACCAGTTTCCTAGAAGATAATTTTTCCATGGATGGGGGAGATGGTTTCAGGATGAAACTGTTCCACCTCAGATCATCAAACGTTAGATTCTCATAAGGATTGCACATCCTAGATCCTTTGCACATGCAGTTCACAATAGGGTTTGCACTCCTACGAGAATCTAATGCAGCCGCTGATCTACCAGGAGGCGGAGCTCAGGCCATGGCCCTGTTCCTAATAGGCCAAGGAACAGCCAAGGGTTTTGAGGACCCCACTATGGGGATCTGAAGAGTCTTGGATGTCAATGGGCAGGAAAGTTCTCACCCTACTCCACCCTCAAAAGCAGCACTTACTAGAGTGTTTCCCTGGCCCCTAACAAAACCACAAGGCTTTACACGTGCCAGCTGACCTCATCCCACTGAAGTTTTGGAGACAACCTGCCAAAACAAGCAAACTCAGGGGGATTACAGCTGTGCCGGACAGCTGTGGAGGAAGCCAGAGTACACAAAAGTGCAGGAATTTGTGTAAGGCAGTCTAGCCCACAGAGCAAGTAGTCCAGGGACTAGCAAGGAGTGGGCTTTCAAAGCCAAGGCTGCATTAGAAGCAATAAAAGATTCCAAGTTAGTTTAGTGATCAGTTGTAACCAAGTATCCAGTGTCAAACACAACTTACCCAGAGGGTCAGTGAGTGGCTCCAAATCTTCCCCAACACCCCATATGGGTTATTAAATTCCCTCAGCCCGTTTTACCTTCAATAGATAAATGAGCCTTACAGTATGTGGAGAGAAGTTGTACTCTGCATCTGATCATGTATGAGGTGGAAGACTCAGCTGGTGGCATTTATCCATCCATCCCTCATTCATCAATTCGTCTCACCAATATTTATACGCTAGGTGCACATTGCAAAGGGCACATGCTTGGTAGGAACAAAGCTGGGGTCACAGAGTTTCTGACCCCAAGACTGTATGTACCTTTCTCTTCAGGCAGGTGTATGTTGACTCCATCCCCACATCCCAAAAGAGTTAATACTCTTCTAGCCCTGACTATGTATAGTTAGGCTCAATTTAGCATCAAGATCAGTGGTGCTGGGGACTAACCCCAATGTCCTGCCCCTCTGTTGTAAGAATAATGGCACAGTCTTAAATCACAAGCATGATGCAGGTGGAAAACCCAATGAACTTGGGCTGTCACTAATACATTTAACAAACCTTATCTCACATTAGTTGGGCCCTTACTATATGCTAAGCACTGGGCTAAGCCCTTTACCTGCATAGTGTGAAGAGTGTGTGTTCTAAAATCCAGATGTCTGTGTGAATCTGGGCCCTAGCACTCATTGGCTATGTGACTTTGAGCAAACTGCTTAGCCTCTCCATGCCTCTGTTGCTTTGTCTGGAAAATAGGGCAATACCAGCAGTAACTACAGAGGACATTATAGGGTTTAAATGAGTAAAAATGTATAAAATGCTAAACTTGAACCATGTCCTGGAATTAGGTAGGCACTGAGTATTAAGATGAATGATTATTATTCCATTAGTTAGTCATACTCATCTGCAGAGAAGGCAGGCATTTCTTCTTACCAAGAAGGCTTTGACAGACTGAGTCAACTTGACCAAGATTAAGTAATTAACTTTTAACAGAGTTAATAAGTGGCAGAACTGGGATTTGAACGCCAAACAGCCAGACTCCAAGGCCTGAAAGCTTAGCCATCACTGTGAGCATGAAAGGCACTGAGCTAGATTCTAAATATGTAAGACCAGGGGAGAGATAAACAAAATACTACCAGAGAGATACATTTTTTAAAAAGTAGAGGGGAGGGAGCCTGAGGCTGAGGCTTTTCCCCAACCTGCAGAAGGGCAGGGAGCAACAAGGCTGTCTCCAGGAACTGAAGAATGACAGGTAAAGACCCAAAAGGAGACTTGTCCTCTAGTCTCAAAGAATGATTGTCAGCCAAGGAGGAAGAAGGGCATTCCAAAAAATCAGGACCTAGAAAACCAAAAGAATAGTGGGTTGGAGGAAAGTCAGGAACATTGAGGAAGTGGCATAAGGTGAGGCCAACTGCGAAGAGCCATGTGTACAAGGTCGGGGGTTACATTTTATTCCGTAAAGAGTGATTTTCAAACCTTAACACACAGAGGAATTACCTTCAGTGCTTGTAAAACACCTGCAGATTTCTGATTCCAATCCCTTCTGTTAGCAATGGGGGACCAACAAGGGTATTTCGGCAATATAGTAGTATGACCTGTTGTGGATTTAGCAACAGAATTCTGGCACTGGAATGGAGGGAAAGACAGGAACAGAGGCTGGTATAATCAGCCAAACTAGAGCAGATAAAAGGACAAGAGCTGGAAATAATGGCAGTCTTCATCAAGTGATACATTAAACCTGGGCTTCTCACCTCAGAACTATTAACAGGTTAGGCAAGATGATTCTTAATTTCTGGAAGTGAAGTGGGGCAGGGGAGCAAATGTCTTGTCCAATACAGGATATTTGGCAGCATCCCTGGCCTCTACCCACCAGATGAATAAGATCCTCCTCTACTCACATCATGACGCCCAAATATGTCTCCAGACATTGCTGGATGTCACTTGGGAAGCAAAATCAAAATTTCCATCGAAAACCATTGCTTTAAGCCCTAGCATCCCTTTTTTGTAGGAAATGCAGCTACAGAAAGGTACAGAAAGGCTCCAGCCAGGATTTAAGCTGGGGATCTCATTCCAGGGCCTGGGCTCTTGGCCACTGGGCTTGATTGCCTTTATGGAAAGGAGATTCAAGCCAGCCTTCTGAACAGAATTACAGATTTTGTGACAGACTGGATGACAAGAAGGGGATAAAAAGAATAAGGTTCAAAGGCGAAACCTCAGTGCTTGCCGATGAACTCAGAGGACAGTAGTACTAAATAAGTAGCTTGGGTGTGAATAGAATCAAGGTGTATTCGGTCAAAAAGGGAAAAGCCTGGTGCCCTGTACTACGAGCAAGGAGGTGGGGGTTGGTTCTTGCTCAGACTGAAGAGAGGAATCTTCCCTTGGGCTGGACTTGAAGTGTGTGTGTGGTATCGACCAGCTAGGACCCAGATCCTGGCTGGGCCCTTTCCTAGCTGTGTGGCTCCAACTCATTGTGCCCGTGTGAAATAGGGGTAAGAGTCCCTACACATAGGCTTGATATGAGAACTCAGGCAGTTAATAAGAGCAACACGGCAAGCCAACACAGCACGATGTGGCCGGCACTTCCCTCCTTCCAGGACATCCTTGTTTCCTCCATGCCCCAAATGCGCTCCATATTGCGTGCCAACACCTCCCCGTACCCGGCAATCGTAGGGGTTGGGATCCCCACGCAGACCCCCAGATAGAGGGGTCTGGACTGTCTGCGCGCGCTCTCCACCAGCAGAGCGTCCCACTGAGACTTTAGGGGGCGCCAACAGCCTTCCTCTCCCCAATCCAGCCTACTTTCGGGGTCCTGGGGGTCGCCAAAAGCGCGCAGCGAGCTGGATGCCTCCGAAACGAACCAGGTAAATAGTCCACGGTGCAGCACGTACATTTCTGGCAGGTCTGCCCCCGGCAGACTCGGGATCGAACGAAGCCAGACAGGCTCAACCCAGCTCCCAGAGGCGCAGGAGGAGAGAGCGTTAGAATTGGGAATGACCTGCTCTCCGAAGCTGGGCTGCAGAGGCAGGGAGCTGAGAGTTGTTTTATCCAGAAAGAAGTAGGAGGCCAGAAAAGCAACAGGAAAGTGGGAGGAAGAGGAGGCAGAAAAGAAAGCCCTGGGAAGCAGAGTTCCCTGTGGGACCCAGCCTACAACACCTGGGCAGAGGCTTGGGAACAATGCAGCGGCTTCAGGTCAGAAGTGCTCTGGGTGTTTCCGAAAAGGCGGCGCTCCGGAGAAGCCGGAGCCCGCTGGGGATGCCGGGCACTTCGGAGCCCAGGGTGAGCTCTTGGGCGCCGCTTACCTTCGCCAGGGCCCCGGCGCGCACTTCCGGGGACTGCGCTCGGGGCGTGCGGGGCCGAGCAGGGGAACCCGGAGCCGATCACCGAGAGGCGGACGCGACAAAGCGCTGCCCGGGGCTTGGGCCGGCACCAGCGCCTCGGAAAGAAATCCCGGCGGAGGGGCCGCCGGGGCCAAGGCTGGCTGGGGACGTAGGGTCCCGGCCTGGGCGTTCACGGGCGGCCGCGCCAAGCCCCGCAGAAGCTGGAGGAGCACGAGTCAGTGGGAGGAAAAGGTTGTCTCATTTCCTTCGATCTCCCCCCTCCTCCACCCGCTCGGCTCCGGACCTGCCCTCCCTCTCCCCCGCCCCCTTCTGCAAGCCAGTGGCCCATGTGGGCGCCCGCAAGACGCTAAACCTGAACGGCTGCAGCTTGCGGCACCTCCCTCCGCGCCAAGTTAGTTCACGCTCCCAACTCCCGCCTGCCTCCCCGCGCTGCCTCTGCAGGGCCCTGAAGGTTCCCCATCGGCCGTCCACACCCTATCCCGGTCCTCCAGCCGTTCCCCCTGCGGGGGCGACCCCAGATTTGAAAGCAGACCTCCAAGCCCCTGCCAGCATCCATCCTCTTATTCCTGTCCCGTCGCCTGTTTTGAGCCTGTATTAAACCACTCAACTCAGACAGGAAATAAGCACTTACTTTGTTAAATTTGATCACCTTTTTTTTTTCTGAGTGGGAAGTTAAAGCCTAATGCATAATCTCGAAGGAATGTTCATTTTTATCGGAAGAAATGCAGCAGAGGCCTCTGTTTGGCCTTTCTCTTTCAGGGTTGGGGTTTTGTTTATTAAAATCAATAAGTATGTATTGAGCGATAGGCGCTGAGCTGGACGCTGCAAACACAGACAGAAGCAGAGGGGCACCCTGTTCCTAGAAAATCGTCATAGCGGAGAGTGCAGGGATAGAGCAGGTTCTGGGATGCAGTGATCTATTAAGAGATGGGTCACAGAGTGAAAGAGCCTTCTACACAGTCAAAATAAAAGCATGGACAGAGGGAAGACAGGATAAGAAAGCCCTCAGGAGGCAGTCTAGCAAAGAACACAGCCAGGGCAGCCAGCGGCGGTGGGGAACAGGGAGGAAAATGCCGTGCCATTCTGTTAGGAAAGGAGAGGAGCTGCTAGGAGCTGCTAGAAGCAGCGGGGTGGAACTGACAAGATCTGAAGACCAAGGGCCGGATAGGGAGAAGATGAGGAGAGAATGAAGGAGAGCGTAACTCCCAGGCCTCTGTCTAGAGTAGTCAGTGACCATGTGGATGAACAGATTCCAGAGTACCTTCTGGAGCTGCTACTCCAAGTGTGGTCCAGAGACTGGCAGTATTAACACCACGTGGAAGCTTTTTGGAAATGAAGACACTGGGGCCACACTTGAACCACTGGATTAGAATCTGCAGTTTAACAAGATCCCTAGATAATTCAAATGTGCATTCGAATTTGGAAGCACTGCCCGCTGTGTATTAGACTATGGAGCCCTGGCTGAAGATTTAAAACACCTGGGGAGCTTTAAAAACCAATAGGAGGCCCCAAGCTCCACCCTCACAAATACTTCTTTAATTGCTGGGGGTGGAGCTCCCACTTTAGTATTTTTCAAATGCTCTCAACATGATCTCATACAGCCAGAGATGAGAACCACTGTTTTAGATGAACTCAAGAGCTACTTTATTTTACCTTGAAATGCTGCTCTTCAGAAAGGAAAGCAACACCTATCTGTAGATGAAGATGTAAAGACAAGTTATCCCACTCTCAGCTGGTCTAGTAGAAAGGGCCCTTGTTTCCTCAACTAATCAGGGAACATGGTAGCCTCAGACAGCACTAAATTACTCTCCGAACTTGAGTAAGTACTCCCCTCTCCCACCTCTGTTTTCTTATCTGTAAAAAGAATACACACTTGCCTGACTCCAAATTCCACACTCTGGCATGCCAGGTGCCATCATCAAAGCTCCCCCTAACTCTCCAGCTTTCCAGCTGGCAGATGGAGAAGCAGTGTTGAGAAGCGGGGTTTCCTGATGTAATAATACATGCATCAGCCCAGGGCACAGCCATGTATGAATATCAGAGATCAGAGGTTTGTGTGCCAAGCACAGAAGCATCCCTACATGAAGGCCAACATTGAGATAAATCACTATTTAAGGATCCTACAGAGGTAGATTCTCTCAGGAGCTATGTCAGGGGACCTATGGGTTATGGCTGCACCTTGGAAAGGAACCCCTCAAAGCTACTAACTTCATGCTTGCATGCACTGTGTGTTCATGTGTATGTGTGTGCTTTTAATGAGAGCCTCTTAGATACCAAACTCTATGCCAGTCCTTTTCACGTACGTTTCTTCTAATCAACACAGCATCTTGATTGGTTAAGCATTCTTGTTCTCATATTTTATAAATAAGAAAACTGGAACAACATGAAGATCTGTTCATCTCTGTAGCCCAAGTTTCTTAAGCGTGCATTCTATTGCAACATTGTTCATGTCCACCACCCCACCCACCCCCATTCTATGGAGGGAAGAATCCTCATTTCAAGTTTCATTCACTTGTTATGGTTACAACTCATCAAAACTCTCTATGTCTCATTTTCCTACCTGCAAAATAAGTTGCCTTTGGTTGCTCTTTTCTGAAGGTACTGTGTGTGGCTTGACACCCTAGGCTGAGAGGAGAGGAAGGGAGATAACCCACAGACTATTAGAGAAACTGAAAACACTGGGGTGATTTATTCCAATATGAGAGGGCCCACTGGTTCATTAATGGCACAACTATTATAAAAGAGAGAAATAGCTGTTTTCTGCTTTTAGGGAGACATATTTACAGAACAGTGCTAAATATCAATTAAGACTTTAGGTCACATGTGAGAAAGGGGCATTAAGCCTCTGCTAGACTAGGACTCAATGGCTACCTTCTGAAGCTGCCCAACCTGGTCTCATAGCATCTGCTGGATGGGCCTTCAAGGCAGAGGTGGTCAGGAAACACAGGAGAGGTTGGAATGCACAGGTTGACACAGGAAAGGCAGAGGAATAGGGAGTCCCAGGCACAGTGTACAGCTCCAGTTCTAACCAGAGATGAAGAATTAGAGGAAGAGAAGGGTTCCTAGGAAACCAGGATCTGCAGCTCAGCATCTCAAGTAACAACTTCATGCCTGATTGATTCCAGGCCCAAGGCTGAGAGCTGGGCTCTCAGTATGAGCAGCCTTGCAGATGTGGGCAGGTAATGCCAGCAGAGTGTGCAGGGCTCCCATGGCACTGGTGGTCAGAGCAGGGAACCACCCCCCACAATGATGTTGTGGCCAACAGCACATCCAGTTCATGGAAAAGGTTTAGAAGCCAGGGCCCCTTCAGTTAATACAAAGAAGATGTGAGAGTTTTAATGCTCAGTGAGTGGAGGCTGTGGCATTCCCTCAGTGTACAAATGTCGTGATGACAAGATTTGATAAGAGGATCGTGTTCCATCCATGTCATGGCTGAGCCCCATAATCAGCTACTATTTGACAGGACTCCAGGCACATTCCTGCTGCTTCTGCTTCCAAAACTCCATCTGCATTTGCATGGCAGTAATTTGATGATTTTGCACAAAGCTCATTGTGGCAAATATTTACTAGTTTTTGCCTCAAACAGAACAGAAATACAACCTCAGACGTTGATTACCCCCATTTTACTGATGAGCAAACTAAGGCACAACACCCAAAGGCAGCCAAAAACAAAAACAAACTGAGTCACCAGCTAAGGTGAAATCCTTAGACTCCTATGGTTTACCCAAAAATGATGAGCTGCTAAAGGCACCACAAGATGCTTGCAGTGAGAATATGTCCAGATTTGTCCTCATCCAAAATCATCTGGCATTGTGTAACTCGTGTGTTACACAGTTCAGCTTAACCGTCGTTTCCTGGAGACTGCCTGCCCTTCACAGAGAACTGTCCTAGATACCACTGGCAACCTTGCTGCACGATGTACTCAGCTCTCACCTGGGGCATGTTCTGAAAGCACAAGCTGGGCTCCAGACCAAACCAATTGAATCAGAATCTCTAGGAGTAGGGCTTTTTATTTAAACTTCTGCAGGTGATTACAATGTGCTATTAAGATTGAAAGCTACTCCTGTAGGAAATGCAGAGACAAAATCCAGGTCCTCAAAGATAAGAAGTTTATAAAACAGTAAGGAACTCAGTCTAGTAGTGAATGATCTTCAAAAGTCACCTGGAAAAGGAGAACGTCAAAATTGCTATCCTGTGTGCAGAGTATTAAGACAATGCCAAACAGACAAAAATCGCTGGACTTTTTCTCTGCCATAAGTGAGTGAAATCATCCCCATGTGGTAGGATGCAGGGATTTTCCTACCCCACAAGGTAGGAAATCTGGTTTTGTCCCAAGAAAGTACAAATAATTGAAACCAGAATCCTTGTCTGCTTCTACTATGGCACTGCTATTTACAAGAAGCCTTCAAACTTCCAGCTCTTATTAATTCCAGAAGTAGTAAATGATCTCCAGGAGTGATGGAGCAAGGCAAGCATGTAAACTGAATAATAAAAGACAAAGGAAATTGCCTCATGGCCTGATGAGAGGCTAATGGATGTGCAGACAGAGACACCAATGTGTCACCATTAATGATGTCACTTTAGGAAAATCAGGAGGCCGAAAATCTTTTTTCATGCTTTGCCCTACAGTCATTTCCTATCTATTCATCTTAACAAAAGTGAACTTGAAAATGTATACTTGTTTAAAATGTTAGTTTGGGGAAATGAGGACAGCCTTTCTCTCTCTCTCTCTCTCTCTCTCTCTCTCTCTCTCTCTCTCTCTCTCTCTCTCTCTCTCTCTCCTATTGTCTCACTTTTGCTATTACATTCCCTGGCAAAGTAATGGGACTTCTGTTAAGATCCATGGATAGTCATTAACCTAGTGGCATTTACATTCATTCATTCCACGACAGCCTGCTGAAATGAAACTAGTCATTTGATAGTATTAGCTACTAACATCACCTAGACACCAAAGGTCAAAGAATACAGTATGCCTTATTTATAGTCCAACCTTTCGCCAACTTTTTATAAGGTCTAATGGATGTGTTTAATTGCCAAATAAATCAATGTTGACAGTTATACCCCCTCTACAATCCTGGATTCCAGATGCAGACAACC